ACAGCAGCCCACTAGGAGTCAACAATTCGCTAACTTTATTTTAGCACGAACGTTTAATGGGCGATCAGCCATAAAAATTTTTGGAAAGTGGAGACTCGCTCACTGGTTCCGTAATACTAAATTCTGATACTGATGCAGAAATGAGGGAAGAAAACTTTTCATCCAATACACTAGTCAAATTCCTAATATCTCATGCAGAAAGTTTCTTTTGTTTTTTATGGATGACGATTTCATAAATCACTGCTTCTTTGTCTTTTAGGCAGATCCTTATGATGTTAATTGAGTCTGGGCATCGGCAGAGTGGGCTAAAGAGCAGTAGATAATAACCTGCGATTCTTTAACTCAGGGGCTTTGCCACAATTTCTCTGGAGAACTTGCAGAACTATGTAGAAAGCACACAGCTATAAACATATTAGGTGGTCGTAAAAGTTTCCTACTCCAAATTTCTTTCCAATGGGTACGAACAATTGATGTTCTATTAGTGGTAATTAACTGCCAAAGTCTTGGCAAAAATATTTGGGATAGTCGTCGATATCGGGTTTATGGCGATAAGTTGGCTTCATAAATACTTTAAGAAATTCAAGCAGCGAAATTTTAGAGTTCTTACAAGATTATCTAGAAGATTGCCCGCATGGCTGTTGTAAATACTTGAAATTTCGGCAGATTGAACATGCCAAAATCCTGCAACAGCCATGCGGACAAGACTAGTTATCATTTTCTTCTAAAGCCGAAGTGATTCAAACAGCAGTGAAGCAGAGAACGGTGCAACACCAATAGCTTTAGTGGAGAATGATTTGAAGACTACGAAACACGTGTGTGAGAGAAAACATCAAGTATAAGGCTTAGAAACTTCTAAATGAATTTTCAAATTGTAAGAAAATTCTTGAGAAGTACGGGGAAAACTTTACCGTATCCTAACGAAGAGTATTTGCGATTAACCGATATTCTTTCAACAATGATCTTATGAGAAGTCCTAACAATCATCCAAAATCCGCTTGAAATGGATGATAATATCAGATTGTAAATTACTTACCGTGCTCAAAGTACGCGCTCTTTCGCGGTGCTCATCCATTTGCTCTTCGGATACGTGGTGACATTTTGTCAAAAGCAGCATCCTTCCAACCAAATCCTGCCGAATGCATTTTATACTTCACCAATTAAAGATAATTTCCTACTAGGATAATTTCCAATAATAATTGAATATTACAGTAGTCGACACCCCAGCGGTGCGTTTGCATTCTCGATAGCGTTTTGCTTTCTTCACTTCATCGTAAGTATCCTTTCCATCTGCCGTAAGTGTGATGTCGTCTAAAATTTGGCTCCTAAGGCACAAGGCATGCATAAGAGAGGTGCTTTTCGGATGATTCCAACATGCACTTGAACAAGCTCTACCTCCATGAACGCAGAAATCGCAATCGTAGCGATTCAGAGTCTCAACAGTTGTAACATAGGGAGCGTCTTCAACAACCTACACAAAGAAATCATACATTTCAAAAAAAAAAATACTTCGCTCGCATTTAATGCAGGAATTTACTTTACAACACTGTATATAATTATTATTCTGGTGAAGAAGTCATGAAAATAGAGAAGTTCTTATTCATGTTCTAGCAGAACATGTTCGGTAAATCTGAAAAGAAGTATCCTTTCCCTTTGCTTCTGTGCATATGTCACTGAATTAAATGATGACTGCACAGAAAAAAAGAAGATGAAACCTTAAAGAAAACAATCAAAATGCATATGCTGGGAGAAAAGAGCTCTCCCCCTTCCCCTCTATGACTATAATTTTTGATTCAGTAATGATGTTATCCCAGAACCTGTACATTGACATCTTTTTGGAAATATTTGAACCGTAATTTTTTGCTTTAGCACAAATTGCTCAAGCAAACGTCACCAAACCAACACCTGCTTTTTCGAAGATGTGTGGGTGTTCCCCTACGATAGAAGACGGTGATCGAGACGCTAACAAAATTAAAACATTTTTAACACTATTGAAATTAGCAATCATGATCGAGGTGAGGCTGATCAAATCAAAAGGCAAAACTCTTTCAACCTCGTCTACCCATTTGATTCCCTCCACCATACGGTAACGTTCCTGCTCATTGAAGACTGGAGGTCCTTTGTGCAAAGCTATCTGGAATTATTAAAGGTGCATACAGGTTTCTAATTATTCTAATAGATTAGTGCAAAAGTATTTTCGTTATCAAGACACCATCTTCTCCTGTTGTCAGTATCAATTAGGTAATGCGCTTTGCAACTATGCTTAAAAGATACGGAATTACAGTGATTCTTAGTCTTAAATATGGCAACTCATAATATTTGGCTTAATGTCACAAAACAGACGAAGTATGTAGATGTGCTGCAGGATATACTAGATTCAGAGAAGAATGCTCGGAGAGCACTGATTCATATTCTACGTTGGGTTCAAGCCTAAGGAAGTGATTGCTTTATGAACTATTATCAGCACTGGCAGACAACCTTTTGCTGCACTTGTGATGCCACAGTGACGGCAGAGGTCTACCATGCGTAAATTGTAGTTGGCTACAACATGAAAACCGTCTAGAATAGCCCCTTTCCGATCCAGTTACCATTGGGTGCCCACGAAGTAGCATTGAGAGTTAAAAACTCTGACGAAACGAATTTTTTTTACAAAAACTTTGGAGCTAGACCGAAAATTTGTCATATCGCGCTAGTAACTTTAAGCATTACTCTTTCTAGGCAACACCTATCTATATCGAAAACGAGGACTAGTACATATCCCGGAATATGTACTTGTCCTCGCGACCATCGGGTAAAAATCAAGCGATTAAAGTTTTTTTGGTTCGAAGATTACCAAAGCCACTGATCCAAAAATATAGTAGATGAATGGTGAAAGACCCATAGTGCTAAGCAAATTTTATTTATTGATTTATTGGTATTTCATTACATTTTATGAATACCAAAAAACAATAAACTTTTGCAACAACCTGTTAGAAAAAAAAAACGCCAAAGACGGCACAAAAATACAGAAAGGGGATGTTGATAGCAAAAAAAGGGTGATTCGATAATACACCTACTTCTTC